ACCCAAAATTCTAATGAAGCTTAATTCAGTTCCAGTCGGGACCCTAAAGGTCAGTAAGGTCATAGGCACAGTAATATCATGAAGAATTGCTAACTCCGAAGAGGAGCTGCCAGAATGGCTTCATGATCCTGAACATGTAGACCCAGATTCGAATGCAGTACACAAACACGTACAGAAATGAAGAACTCAGGAGTTTGGTCATACTATTCGTACTGGTCAAAAAGATCATTAAAAGTTAATTGTTGTTTAAAAATTGTTGACTCAAGCAGCTCTTGATCTCATTACTACCAGCCGTTCTGCAGAATAGTAATGAGCTAACTCTTAATTAACAATTCTCAACAACTCGTGTACGTTTTCTGATCATCGGGAGTAAATATAGCGAATGCCCTGTGCCTTTAAATACCTTGGCCTTCTACACTGTAAGAGGATATCAAAAAATCACTAAAATCGTCAATTGTCATCTCACAAACTTCAAAAGATTTCCAGTCGAGAATACTTGGAGAGGAAAAGGAATCCAAAGAGCTTTCAGACGTGGAGAGGCTGTTCAGAGGAACTAATGGAAGAATGGGATTCGCAGTAATAGCCCATAACTTGCGATCCAAAGTAATAGTTAGCCATATACAAAAAGGTAATCTGAAAGCAAATGGAAAAGTGGCATTGAGGTATAGGCTTGCTTCATCTCGCTACGGGGCTGGTCGACCTTTCCAAACAATCGTCTTCAGTGGTCGCCCAAAATGCCAGCGCCCATACCCACCAAGAACATCTCGTCCAATTGGTCGCCCAAAATGCCAGCGCCCATACCCACCAAGAACATCTCGTCCAATTTCGTCGATCACGACAGACTTTACTGGTTGCATCAATAACTAATTACATTAGCTATATTTACACTATCTGGCGTCATTTCCTTTATTATGAGCTATTAGGCTGTTTCTGGAAAGCACAAGAAGTCTAAAAAGTATTCCTATCTGAACGATTCAATTTCAGCGTAGAGGAAGTGAACAGTTGTAGGATGGTGATAATCGAGTAATGGTAAAAGTAATACTCACTACATATGTGTTTACTTTTTTGCCAAGATAGGTTACTGGATGAAATTTTGTACTCGTCTGGCTTCAGTTTCCAAACGTTATGCTTTTCTAGAAGCTCAAGGGTGGCTCGATACGTATGAATTGGAAGTTGTACGTCTGCNATCAGTCTAAGTCAAACTGGCAGAAATGGCTCTTTGGCCGAGATTTCAAAAATGGATTCTGAGGCAGAGACCAATTTTAGTCCTGTCGCCCATCCTAAACCAGAAGGACATCGAGGTGGTTAGGTGGCAAGAGGCGCCCCTTTGTACGCACGATGCGGCTATCGAATCTCGTATCAATATCCTCCCAGGACACATAAACTTTCCATTCGCCGGGGTGGATCGATTGGCTCCGACTCGTCCGGGAGAATAAAGGCGCTGAATTGTTCATCACCACCAGTCCACCGCTTGCCATCGTATAGGCCACATACGCATTCAAAACACCAATGCGATTCTGAGTGGAAGTCATG